TCCACCACGGGAATTGTGGGTACAGGGGACGGCCGCACCCCTGAGCTCGTGGAGCCCAGCCGGCCCCAGGCAGCCACGTCTCTCTGTGGACTGGCGGGCCGGTTCCCAGGGTGTTTCGTGGCTTCTCAGCCTCCTCTGGATGGAAAGGATTAGGGGAAGTAAGTGACACCACCCTTCTTCCATGACAGCCCGCCCCGCGCCCACTGCCTCGAGTACCCCGGGGTGGTGCCCCGACGGGTTCGACCTGCCCTCCCTGTGAAAGACAGGTGATGCGGTGAATCCTGACGGGTGGAGAACCGAGGTGTTCTCGTGTTGAGACGCAGATCATGCAGCGCCTCGAACTGTCAGAAAGCCGGGCTGTGGTCTCCATGTGGCCGGGTCACCTCCTGCCGCCCTCCGAGGGGACTGGCAGGGCTGCCCGCAGGACCACTTGGAGCTAAGTACGAGCACACGGGGTTGAGAGGATGCTGAAAGGCAAAACCTGGGGAGACAGGGGCCCCTGGGTTTCTAGGCCCTGCCCCGTGCACATGGGTGGTTTTGGTGCTTGGTGGAACACTGCGAAGACGGTGGTGTTTTCAGTGTGGCCTGAGTCTCTGGATGCCGCCCTCTGGGCGGGGCTTTGTAGCTGGGGGCCTGGAACCTCCTCCACCTCCTGAGTCTCAGCCAGGATTCCAGGATTCTCTGGCTTTCCAGGACTTTCCTTGTGACGTAACGGGTGATTGAGGACGAGGAGCTTTCATTCTCCACGAGTGTTATCTCAGTGACTTGCGTAACCCACGCCGTCCAAGCATTAGGTGCACTCACGCGTCAGAAGGCCGTCCCCACCCACCCACCTCCAGAACGCTCTCACCTTCCCAGTCTCCTCCAAGTAGCCACTCCCACGCCCCCTGCGGCCCCCGGGAAGCCCCCACGGCACTTTCTGCCCCTGTGGACTTGGCGACCCTGGCACTTCCTGCAGGGGAGCCCTGGGTGTCTCCTCCCGAGTCCGGCCTGCTGCATGCTGCACCGTCTCCGAGCTCACCCGCGGTGGCCTGTGTGTGTCCTTCCTCGGGGCCGTGCGTGTTCCAGCGTGCACACCACATGCTGTGTGGTCGCGTCCCCTGTTGGTGGCCATCTGGGCTGTAGGGATGGTGCTGCTGTGAGCCCTGGGTGCAGCCCCTGGAGTCCAGCAGCAGGGCACATGGACACGCTGACGGCCTCCTGCCTGAACGACCAGTCCTCAGCTGAATCGTTCAGAAGAGGTGTGACCCTGCCGCTCTGGCCCGCAGGTGGCCATGTGGGGCTCGCTCCCCACGGTGGGTCTCCGTCTGTTACAGGGTGACGCCGTGGCTTTCCCGTCTGTGGGCATCTCTGCTGTCCTCCCCCCCCAGCAGTTCTTATCTTCACACGGAAGCAGAGAGGACGGGTCCAGTGCGTACCTTCTCTGTCTGCGTGAACTGTCACCATTTGCTTTCTTGTTTTCTCTTTCATCTCCAGGGAGGGGTCAGGTTGGTCAGAAACCTTGGGCGGGTTATTGGTCTCAGTTGCCAAGGGACTGTTGACCCACCGCCTGACTCGGCCTTGACGCGTCCAGGTAGGAGCAGTGACTCACGCTGTCTGTGCCCCCTGCTCCTAACCAATGTCTAATTAATTGTTAACTGGTGACGCTTTAGACCCAGGGATTCAGGAAGCGCCCAGCCCACCTGGTGGAGGCCTGGACAGACACGCTGGCAGAGGTCAGCTGACCCCAGATAAAGCCTCCATTCCAAGGCCTCCGTCGGGGCAGGCAGAAGATTCCATCAGCACATTCTGGAACTTTCTGCCTCATCTGGACGTGAGCTGCTCCAAGGG